TAATTCACACGATAACCAAATAGGTATAACAGGTTGATCATTCGATGAACTCAACTAGCTCTGACACAACAAAGCATTGCTAGTGCTCTGTGTTGTCAATAGATTGATTGGGCCTAATGGGCCCAAGCCCATTTATGCCAGTGGCTATGTTGGGTCTGATGGGTCGCACACAAATATCTTAAGTTATCTTGAATTCTAGCATATGTGGCTTGGGCCCAATAAGGAATAATAGGCCTAAGATGGAAAAGCCCACATATTGGGTCAAGAGAGGGTAGGTGGCATCATGGGCCAAGTTGGACTTGATCCATGATGTAACCTAATTAATTTAAATGTTACATTAATAAAATTAATTTGAATTCTAATTTTGAATTTTGAAATTGAAATTTGAATTTAAATAAAAATAATTTGAGTTCTAATTTCGAATTTGAATTTAAATAAAATTAATTTAAATTCTAATTTAAAATTTTGAATTTAAAATTTAAAATTTGAATTTAAATATAGTCATTAAATTAGATTTAATAAAGATGGAGAAAATAAAATAAACCAATCAATCTAATTGATTGGTCAAAATTAAGGAAACCAACTAATTAAATTAATTGGCTGAAATTGGGGAAACCAATCAATTAGATTGATTGGATAAAATTAAGAAAATCACCCAATAAGATTGAGATTTGATGAGGGCGTTGATTTGACCTAATCTTAGGTTAATGAGGCGCCACATATATATAACCTCTTTTCTTCCTTAATTTCGTAACTCTTCTTATCTAATTTTCTCTACCGAAATCCCAGCCAACACACACATTGAAATAGGTTGGGATACTGTGAAATTTTGTGATTATGGCCTCTTGGATATTGATTGTGCATTGGAGGACATTGTTGTAAAAGGTAAGCTTTCGTTCCTTGGGGTTAATCCCTTATTTGTTTCTCCAAACTCCATGGGAGGTTAGTTTATATATATATATATATATATATATATATATATATATGGGGAGGGATATTGTGACAACCAAGTTGTGTTACTACCAAGTGACTACCAAGTGACTACCAATCAATCTCACCGTTAGATCGATTATATGGATCCAACGGTTATATTTATTTTCATTTTTGTATGGTCATGATTCCCCAAATTTAATACTTTATATTTATTTTCACCTTTGTATGGTTATGATTTTCCATATTTAATGCTTTCACTTTAAATATGGGAAATCATGACCATACAAAGATGGAAATAAATATAACCGTTGGATCCACATAATCGATCTAACGGTGAGATTGATTGGTAGTTACTTGGTAGTAACACAACTTGATTGTCACAATATCATTCCCCTATATATATATATATATATATATATATATATATATAGTATGTTTTAGAACTGATTTGGTGATATAATGTGTTGATATATGGATGTGATGGTGTGTTTACCTACATGAGATGGTGATGCCTAAGTGTAGGGCATAAGGGGAATCCTTATGTTTTGGGTATGTTGTATGACGTTGCGTAATGCATACATTGTTCTCTGGCCAGTAGAATTATTTTTGCACACATTACATGATATATATTGCATTATATATTTTATTACTCTATTTATTACTGTTATACCTTAAGTGAACTTAGGGGCGGAGGAATCCTTCGAGGACCCCTAGTTTATTGAGATTGTTATCTCACCCCGTGTGGGGATGATATTTTCAGGTACTATGAGTGATAATGTTGGAGCATCTCGTGGCATAAGGCCGGATAGAGATCATAGCATGTAATGAGATATTTATTGCTGTCATTTTGGATTACATAGGAGACATGATGTTATATTTCTGATGAGCGTAGATGGTTGTCTATGCCATTAATATATTGAGTTTGTTTACTCTTGTTGGAGAACATATATAAGCTTATGTCAGTTGAGCATTTGTATTACTTGGGTCATTTGATGTTGTGATGTATGAAATATGTTTTATGGAATAAGTGGTAAAGCCTTGAAATGGCTTATGTTATGCATGATATATAAATGAAGGTCCATTAGGTGTTGTATGGATTCTATGGAGAATATGAACAGGTGCAGATAGATTACCTAGAAAGCATATAATGAAATTATAAAGAGTTAATTATGAAAGATTTTGGTAAAGATGTATGAAAGTAAATGACCTAGATAATGGATTACTAAGTATTATAAGCTAAGCTAAGTATGAATGTAATTTTGGTAATTAGATATCAAGTAAGATATGGACTAGGGCATGATGCCTAGAAACATGCTAAGTGGATGACTTAAAGTGATTAATGGTTAAAAGGTATGTCACCGGATGATTATTTGAATAATTAGGTAAATGACAATACATAATGAAAAATAAAAAGTTTATTCACCTTTTCATATTTTTAATTGTGAATCAATGAGTATAACTTCTGCAATTTATTAATTAAATATGTTGCGCTTAATATCATTCTGATGTTAACAAATCGGTCTGGAATAGGGTGTTACAGGCGGCTGCATATTCTAATCCCAAGTGTTTTCTTCATCAAAACAACATCATTGCCAAGCACAATCGTTTTTGTTAGTGGATTAAACAATTTATATTCTTTGAATGTATCACTTATGCCTAGAAAGACATATTTTTGAGCTTTGTCATCTAGTTTCTTCCTTTTCTCGTCCAGGAAATGAGATATACAATGCATCAAAAAATTCTAAAATGATTCACATTTGGTGTTATCCCACTCCAAGCATCTACCGGTGTCATGTTTCGAACAACAAAGGTTGGACTTCTATTCAAGACATGAATGCTCCAATTTACTGCTTTTGGCCAAAATATCTTTGGATCTCTTACTCTTTCCAACAAGCTTCTCACCGTGCTGAGGACGGTTCTGTTCTTACTCTCTAATACACAATTTTATTGTGGTGTATATGCAATTGTAAGCTCTTTTTGAATGTCATATCCTTCACAGAAGGCCTCAAACTCTTTTGAGAAATATTCACCACCACGATCTATACGAAGGGTCTGAATCGTCCTTCCAGTCTCATTCTCCACATGAAATTTAAAAGAGCCTCATAATGTGCATGGTCCAAGAGATGATTGAGAAAGACAATCAACATAATTACCAGTATCTTAGGCAGGAGTCTGGGAAGAAACCTTCTTAAGAAGAGCCTCATAATGTGCACTCAAAATAGTTAATGATCCAGTAAAGGATGGTGCAGCATCGGTCTAAGCAAGGTTGGCAATTGGTGGCTTCAAGTGAGGGTACTATCTATAGCAACGCTCCTCAAGATGTCCAAAGTTCTGGCAAAAGTTGCAACAAAGACTTTGTCCATGGCCATATCCGCGACCGCATCCATTGTTCCAATTGGAATCATTAGCACGAGAGGTAAGAGCAGTTGAATAGGTGGCTAGCATATGAGAAGGAGCAAGAACAAGTGCGGTGTTGTTTTATCTGTAAGGTTCAGGAGACGTTGGAAAGTTTGTGACAAGCTAGGAGTCCCAACATTGGTTAAAATATTCTCACGAATACTTTCTAACTCCTCTGGAAGATCAGAAAGGGTGACAACCATAAAGAGGTGCTCCTCCTACTTCTTGTACTTATATGCATCTGCAGTATGAGGCAACATAGCTAAGAATTCATGCATCAAAGAACAAATTTACCAATATAGGCCTCTATTCGAACATCTGGTGATTTGCGCAATTCCATTATCTGATAAACAAGAGAGTAAAGTTGTGGAATGTTGTTGATATAAAGGCTTTTGGCTTCCTCCCATACTTCATAGCAGGTCTCAAAGAAGATGAAAATATCAATAATTGTTAGATCAATGAATTTCCAAAGAAAACTCAAGAGCAGGGCATCAATCTTCTCCCAATAATATTTCTGATCCTTGTGGATATCAACGAGCTTGGTCGTGAGATGTTTCCTGTGCCCCTGACCAGTAAACCAGATCTTAACAGAGGTAGACCAAGTCTTGTAAGTAGTAGATCCAGTTAGTTTCATCGTTGTAATGGATGGGATAGTAGCGGAGAATACCGGTAGTATTTTTTTATTGTTTTTTATATGATGATAGTATTTTTCATAGCAGTACTTGAGTTCTCCATCATAAATCAGATGCAAGAACTTCCAAAAACAAAAGAAATTACAGTAGAATAAAAGAAAGCAGTATATCGCGTGAAAAACATCCAAAAAGTGTCCAAATAATGAGCTTTTCGCCAAAATCTTCCTAACGGATGGGACCCACAACAAATGAAGACCAAATCTTGAAAGAGGGCGAAAAGGCAAGCAAAATGGTGGTGGTCCACCCCGAAACGGCGGCCAGATAATAACGTAATATATTCAAATAATATTCAAACAATTATTATGCCTATTCGAGTCGGTCTTTGTCGCGCAGTTGGTTGCAGAAAAAGTTCTCCATCGTCGGTGAACAGTGGCGGACAGTGGTTTCCGACAATGAAAGGTGTTTGACGATGGTTTTTGTGACGATCTGAGGTTGAGGACAGATGGTTGGTGACCAATTGAGGGTTAGGTACTGAAAGTGGGTTGCCGAATGATGCAGGACACGTGTGACTTGCCCGAATGACGCACGATAAGATTTTCTGCATAAGCAAGGTTCATATCGTATTGTGTAGTGAACTGATACAAATGTGTATAATATATAAAGACCCTAATGAGCTTAAAGAAGAAATCCAAACCTAACTCAAATCCTAATAAAATAAGAAAACAGATATTCACAGATAATATCGTAATATATTCAAATAATATTCTAACAATTATTATTATTATCTCAATTTTTTATCTTTATTTTCACTTTATTTTAATTTATTTTTTCTTTTAATTATTTATTACTATTTTTTAATGAATAATGCTATATATTTTTTAAAATCTACTTTTATTCGTTTTCTTAATTTTTTCGTACTTTTTCATTTGTGTTCATTTGATACCGATTACAATTAATCTAGAATAAAAATGTGTTGATCCATAAATAAAACATAAAATTTATTACAAAACCATTTTAAGTGTAATTAGTTTTGCGTACAATAAAATGAGATAATAAAGGAGTGTAGTTATTAGTCTTTCTCTTCTAATATTATTTGTACACTCAAACCGTAAATTTTTTTTTTTTTTCCTATGCTATCTCTTGTTTTTTAACAAATCAAAAAACTAACTCACAACACTTTCAAGCAGCAAAAATACATGAGTCGACCCGGACAAGCTATCAAACTCGGATACAGTTTGCTAGCTCCTAACAAATTCATTAAATGATTGATTTCAAAGATGTATAAAGCTCCTCTCCATGACCCAGGGAAGCTCTAGGTGACTCCTTTCCGGTTCAAGTCCAGCCTGAGAAAAATTATTTAATTATAAATTAATACTTATCTTATTCATCCCTTCTGAACCCCCTCAAAAAAAAAAATATAGAAAAGAAGAGAAAATAACAAGTGCAAGGGTATCTATATATAATTCAAGAGTACTTACTAATTGTGTTTCCCATCATAGAACTGAGCATTCTTGGAGGATTTAAAAGTCTCCAAAAATTCCTTAGCCTTCTGCAACTCTTCCTTCTGCCTTGACTTGTCCCATTTGTGCTCAGTTGCCAATATTTGAATCACACGAGGCAAGGCCCGTCCTGCTGCATCAGTGTCAAGGAAAGCAAGACTGGTCCTCCGTGCAATGAAATCAATGGCAGATTCACAGTATTCACGACGAGCACAGTAGGCCACTTCAGCTTCCAAAAAAGGGTAACCATGGGCAAGTCGCTTACCCAAACTTTCATTCTATATACAAAGTACATAATCAATATAAACCTTCCCAAGGATGAAACCATGAAACAGACTAAAACTTGTATAAGCTCACTGTTCAGACAAAAAAATTATCACCATTTAGTATCAACTTCCAGATGGTCCCTTTTTAGTCATTTTTCCCTTCATTTCCCCCTCTTCTTCTTTTCCCTTTCTTTTTTACTTTTATATATATATATATATATATATATATATATATATATATATATATATATTTACTATTCTATTTATTTATTTTTATTTTTACTTTTCTTTTATTTTTTCAACCTTTTGTATCTTTTATTTGGGTTCATCTACCACCGACCCCAATTAATTTGGAATAAAGGTGTTGTTGATGTTGATTTATTACCAGCAACTAAAATGCACAGCTTTGTTGATTTTGATTTCTCAGACTAGACTGAAAGCATGGGAGAGTTGAAACAGATTACCTTGGAATGGATTATATTATCTTTTTCAACCACAAACGAGGCAAACAACAATGTTGAAGCCAATTTCTAGTTAATTTTTCAAATGACATCAACCAGAAACCAGACCATGATTAAGAAGCCCTGTGGCTCGCAGAAATTATATAATGGTGAAATATTGAGTGACCCCATCTATCATCATTACTTCCATACTATGCTTAAAACATCTCAAATATGATCAGTTCATATCTTCAAATCACATCTGTAAGACTGCACATATCAGACATAAAAAATACATCAAGTTGAATATACTGTTTTGTTCCCTTAGAGATTATGCAGTAAAAGGACACATGTTTATTCTTTTCAGACCCTAGGCAAGATGCCAAGTATTCACCCAACAGAGGCAATTAATACCCCAGAGCTTATCCTAGAATAGCAAAGTTTTCAGGCAGCATAGTAACAATTAATAATTCCAACAGAAGTTCTCCTTCAGAATAGTTCTGCAAATAAGGCATGTGATAAATATGGTAATTAGGTATTATTGTATAGCTACAGTTAGGGCTGTAACTCAGGAATAGTCCTGAAGAGCAAGTCAAATAATTAGAATAAATAATGGTCAACATAGATTATTTAGTCAAAAATTTCGCAATGGCTCTTACTCTCTTTACGATTTCAGAGCAGGTTCTGATCCATCTCTCTACCACAATACAACAATCCTAGTAAACCCTAGCCTCCAAACCCACTGTTCTCACTGACCAGCAAGGTCATTGATCCTTAGCTGCCATGTTGCAATTCCAGCAACATCTTCCCTTGCCATGCTCCAATCTGAAGAAGGTTCCTCTGATCCAGTGACAGCCCCCTCCCCCCCCTCTCTCTCTCTCTCTCTCTCATTCCAGTCATGTCAGAACTCAAAATATAACCGCCAGACCATCAGCTCTTATAGAAGAAGCCCCATGTGCCACTTGTCTCTTTAACATGTGGTCTTCACATGCCTCACACGATCAGTTTAACACCACACCATCCCAAATCAACACATTTCAAGTGTTTTCCTCCCTTGATATGACCTATTAGCCCTCGGATCTGAAATTTGCTTCCATACACTTGTGTTTTCAGTATGGCAGACAGTAGTTTGGGCATTTTTTATGCTACATCCGCTGCCAATGGGTTCTTTTACCTTTTTCCAACATCTCACATTCCTAACATTACAAGTAAGGAATTGCCAAGATCTGCCTGCCACCTATCAGTCTAGGGCAACTTTTGTGAAAATATGGTTCTCTAGCTAAGGGCAGGAGGAGCAACTGACCAAGCAACATTATGATGTTTTAGTGATCAAACTAAATAAGATTGAAGCCCAATTCATGAGGATTCTATAGAAAATACAAATAGTAGATGTCTTTCATCCCTTTGGAACCTGCTAGAGGTGTGAAAGAACTTGGGGATTGCTATTCTAAAAAAATTCAACCCCCGTACACCATTAATTCCAACATAACGAATTTATGCATACATGTAGTCCCATTGCACAAACTGGCGTCCTAATCGCCCATCTCTCTCAAGCACCACCTCTTGGGCTTTGGATACTTGACTCTTGTGCTTTGATCTCATCTTTATTCCTTATTTTGATTCACAACAGTTGTTATTCATACAGATGGTCTAAAACGTGGTCAGGGTCCTGTTCCAGCACCCTTACTGTTAGCTTCTGTCCTCTAAATTCCCGGCAGCCCATTTAATTTAATCTAATTGTCACTTACCAGTTACCATGTTCTCTTAAGTGATCAATACCTTAAAACATAACTCTGTTTTTATGCAGGACTAGGCAGCAGACAATGAGCAGAGTTGGTTATAAGCTTCAAGGGCTTTACTATCTTGCTATGTCTTGTTCTCTTGTGGCATGTGCTAGAATATATATTAAAAAAAAATCTCAAAATATCTTAATTGTATGCTACACAGATGCAGAAAAATAGTCACCAAGGGATTGAATGCTACGCAAATACAAATTGGGCAAGCTGAGTAGAAGATGCAAAATTAGCCACTGGGTATTGCACGAAGTGTGGGTAAATGTAGTCACTTGGACAAGCAAGAAATAAATTGTTGTTGCAAGTAGTGGTAAGGAAAAACATAGGGAAATTGCTCAAGGAGTTTGTGAACTTATTTTTACAATTAGGTCACTACAAGACCTATTTATTCTGGTTGAAGATCCAATGAAAATGAAAAGTGATAGCAAGTCAACTAATAGCACAGTTTATAATCCTATTCAAAACGATAGGATGAAGCATGTGAAGACTTACATTCACCAAATCAGAAATTAAAAATAGAACTTTTCAGCCTACATTATGTGTCAACCAAATCAAACAAGCTGATATTTTCACAAAAGCCTTGCTGAAGTCAGAATTTGATTTGAAAGTTAGCAAACTCAGAATGATTGACATCGATTCATCAGCTTGAGGGAGAGTGATGGAATATGAAAGTAAAATCCCAAGGATTAAGGGATTTGATTAATCCAGAAATCATGGGATTATTATTTGTAAATTTATTTCCTTTTCAATTTTTGTTAGTTTTTTTGTCTATAGACTAAAGTGTTGTTTTTTTATACAGTCCAGCCCCCAAAGACTTATAAAAGGGATAGAACTAGGAAGGTTTGGGCCCCTATGGCTGCTTCAGTGCTGCCACATCAGCATAATGCTGTTCCCGAAAATACCCCGTAACAGAATGGAAGGCAGTTATGCCATTGTGCATGGAAGGAGGTTAGTTAAATAGCGGGAGGAGTGGCAAGAGGGGATTATGGGGAATATTGCTTGGACTTGTGACTTGGGAGAGAGCGGAGCCTCTCATATTTCATTTATTTCTTCCTTTACCTCCCTATTTCTTCCAAAGACTGTTGAATTCTGTTTCAATTTCTCTTTTACTGATTTCTGAACTTATCATTTTTCTCCCAACAGGTAGTTAGTATGCTGTATATATTGCACCTTTGTTATGAATGAGAATCAAACAGAAAATTGTGTTTGAAACTCTGTTTCCATTGATCTTTATTTTTCAAATATGTGGGGAAAAGTAATAAAACAAGACTAAATGGAATGAGAAAGAGATTGGCATATAGTTTGTCTCGATACAAATGGAGGAAAGCTATTAACATTGTGGAGAGGTAAACCCACTATTTCCTATGTTTTGAACAGCCCATTTTAGCCTTTTTTTTTCCATATATTAATCTATTTCTGCATCTATTTATTTATTTATGTATTTATTAATTTTATTTTTTCCTTTTTTCCTTTTTTTAAATTTTTTTATCTTATTTTTTCTCTCTTAGTTTTTTTTTTTTTCAATTTCTTCAGTATTTTCTTGATTTTTTATTTGTGTTCACTGACCGCCAACACCAACTAATATAGGATAAAGGCAATGTTTGATGTTTTAAACTTTTTATGCTGACACAAGTACCCTGTTTGGTGTAGCTGTTTGTGCTTTCCGTATCTATATTGCCACTATACCTCTACTGAATTCCACAATTTGATTCTGAATCATGGTAGTCCACATCAAACTTCTTGTCCACAATCCACATAGTCGAGAACAAAATGGAAAAGCGCAGAGTAAAAATCATCTTTAATTGAAACAAGACTTCCTGTGTGAATACTGCTATCGACAATATGAAATAAATACAAACTAACCTGAGCAATGGCAGCCACACATTCAGCCAATGTTCCATATGCATGAGACAAGTGCTTTGCAGCAGCAGTGTCCATTACCCCTGGAACAACTTTTCCCCTATGTGTTACTTTCATGCGCACATACTGTTGAGTAAGAACTGTAAAAGAAGCAGGATCCCACCCTTCTCCACCAACAATTCGGAGATTGTTGGTCACGGATCCATTGGTGGGGGTCAGCTTCCCAGACTTTATAGCTGCATTAACAGCATCTTCTGCCATTCTGAAAAACATTGAAATCAGCATAATATTTGTGTAATAGGAACATTGCATGCTGCAATGGAACAAAGAGAAGGCAATAATAAATGAAGCCGGAGAAATTGGAAAATAATTAAATACTACTTCTTAAATGGACTAACGGAATGGTCAATATGATTAATAAAATGCCTAGCTGTAGAAACAACAAGAACATAAACTTCAACAACTTTAACCTAAGCCCATTAAATTATTACCCACGATAGGTTGTCCACTTGCCACCAGTGATGGTAACCAAACCAGGGAGATCCTCACAGACAACATGATCCCTAGAGATACTCTCAGTATTTTTAGCTGATGGGTCCATTGCTAATGGGCGAATGCCACTCCAAGCCGAAAGAACATCAGTGCGTCGGACCTAAATTTTCCCAGCTTTATTAGTCCTTAATAGCAAACTGTGTAAAAGGGAGAAAGTAAAAGGACATCTAGATTGAGTGAAAGCTCACTGGGATTATTTTCCTTCTATTTAATCAATGATTTCTGAGGACAGACCCCGTTAACTAAAACAGAAGGAAGGGGGGGGGGGGGGGGGGGGAGTGTTCCTACAAATGATAAGATTGAATTCTGTAGCAATGTAGCTAACAGATATATGATGCAATATACTGTCTTGTTTTTTGCCTAAGTTCATCCTCCAAACAAGTAATATGCACGGGATCATTTAATTTCTGCATCTCACATCAGAAAGAAAAGAATAAATAATGAGCCAAAAAGTTTCCTGTTTTGGCAGGTATATCATACTTTAACATTAAGGTAATCAGATATGGCATCCAATATAAATTGTATTTCATCTTCATGTGGTTCTGGAAGAAAAGTAATTTTAGTGTTGGAATCTGTGGTTCCGGCAACTGTTCGTCCCAGCCATGGTAACATAAAAACAACACGTCCGTCCTTAGTTTTAGGAACAATTAAGCCCATTCCCTCTGGAGAATAATAATCAGGGAGTACAATATGCACACCACTGCTTGGACAAATCATATCTCGTGCATTTTTGTCAGCCATTTTCCTTACAGAATCACAAAACGGCCCAGATGCATTCACAATTACTTTCGCATATGTATCAAATTCTTTGCCTGCAACATGAAAAATAATAAGTAGAAGTAATTAACTAGTGAAATGTTAGAAGGAAATAACTTTTATGCTTAAAAGTCACAAACTATTATGTACACCCACAGCTGTAACTGTTGAGAATAAAGTACATTATGTGATTTATGTCTAGGTTCATTGTAATACGTGCACGGGGTATTTACATCCTATGCACTATACTGTCTTGCTTTGTACTACTAGCTAAATGCAATTCGTCACTCAACTTTCCAATACAAGATGAAGTAATTGCTTAGTAAATAAACCAACCATATGCAAAATAATAACAGCTCGAGAATAGAGGATTAGACTTCTAACAAATGATTCTTCAGTTTGGTGGTGTTTGGTTGGGAGCTTTTCAGCGGATATCTATCTTTCTCAAGTATGGCTTTTAGAAATACTATATTTGTTTCAACGTTTTTCACCAAAATCTCATCTATCCAATTTGTCTGGATTTATGAGAAACATAGATATCCGCACTGTTTAGAAACCCAATTTGAAGGTGGGATTTTTCAGAAAACCGGTTATCTGACTTTTAATGCACTGTTGATTTCATAAAGTTACCTAATTTTCCCAGTAAAGTTTTTCCCCACCAAACAACTTTTTTTTACATTTTTCTACCTATCTCACTTTATCTATCTTTCCAATCATTTCTCTATCTATCTCATTTCCCTACTATTCCAAAAAAATTTCCTGAACCAAACGCCCCAGGTTTAAAGGATCTCCTGTTGCAGCAAAATTCCTCCTCTTATGTCATAGAAACAAAATCCTAGGACCCACAACATTTTAGAAAAACAAAATAAAAAAAAAAAAAAATTGACACAGATTTCGAACAGTCTGCTGCAAGCTATCCTCTTGTGCAGCCGCATAAGAAGCTATTTGCCCAATGTGTCTCCCATATAATGTCCTAAAGCCCTTATTTAGTCAGATAGATTATCCTAAAATACACTGCTAACTTACCATTTCCAACAAACCAAAATGGTCAAAAATGTACCCCGTACATGTCTCTGGTACCAGATAGAAATAAAAGAAAGTGTTACCAGTCAAATTGTCCCTAATTCGTGCACCAATTATCCGTTTGCCTTCATCATCCTTCAGTAGGGATACAACTTCGGCATGGTTCAGCACTGCTGCACCAGCCAATGCAGCAGTGCAAGCCAATCCAACATTAAGTCGTGCATCATTCATCTGCCCATCATAATAAACAACCGTACCCCTCAGGCGTTTACCTTTTCCCTCCCTTGCTAGAGTGGGAAAGAGCTCAACAGACTCTTTTGCAGAATAATATCTTGATAAGTGCAAGAGTCGTGCTCCTGCGACCAAATCGTACATTTTCAAGCCAATCCAGTAGTACACTACTTCAAACCAGTCAAAACATGGTGTCATGCAAGGCAAAGCATGGCATAGGTGTGGCGCATTGTCAATAACCTGTTTACGCTCCTCAAGTGCATGGAATACTAATTTCAGTTGGCCATAGTCAAGTTTAAAGACAGCTTTCTCCAAGTAACGAACACCTAAGAGTTAACACAAACACTGGAATATTAGATCAACAAGTACATACTACTTTTTAAAAGAGAAAAAATCAAGACATAAAATGACCATAACATATCCCTACAGAATTCAAAATCTCTGGGCAGTCAATATCTACATTCTACAGAGTTAAGATGAAGATTGGTTTTTAAGAATCTTATTTTAAAACTTGTATCAAAGGAAACTTCGCAAGCCTTAACTCACAGAAATATGCACCTTCTTTGATTTAAACCTATAAATTTAAAATCCCAAAATTATGCTACAATTATAGTTCTTTAACATCATTTTGTATCCTTTCAAAAAATATGAAAAACAGTTTCAAAATTATATTTTAACAGAACATCCTTTCAAAGAATCACATCAATATTAATCATGCAAACAAGTTGTTTTGCCTACCAGATTTCTACAACGTTTGCTGCATCTATTGTTAGAGTCAAAGCATGAGCTCTTTATCTAAGCCAATATTGAAGTAAATTATGATAACGATCAAAGGGACAACAATAACTAAACTTAGAAACACATCAATCATTTTTACATCTCTCTTTTTCTTTTGGATGCACTTTCTTTCCTTCTCTCTTTAGAAGATGAAATTTGTCAAGACCTCAAAGAAGTTTAATCTTGTAGGAGCTTCAATTGCAAGCTTTATGGAAGTTATGGGAGAAACTGTGCATCTTGTAAGCATACAGTCCATTTCATTTTCCTTTTTGGTAAATGGTAAATAGAAGTTTAAAGGGAGGGGTCAATCCAGGGCTAGGGCATGCCACAAGCCTTAGAGAGAGTGTACATACAAATCATCTACCAAAAGGGATTCCTGACAGCTGGAAAATAACCTAAACCTTTCAAGCAAAGTATTTTAATTTGTACCAGCTTAACCAACCCCTGTTGATGAGTGCATTAAGTACAATAACTGAACATGGATTAATTACAGATCTAATTAAAAGCTATTTACTATAGTAATAAGTAATAACTATAGTTTACAAAAACGCTAACATGTGATAAATTTGTTAATAAATCCTGACTAGTATAGTATCTAAATCTTCAAGCGTCCTTTTAGAAGCTTGTTAGCAATAACAGCCTTCCAGAGTCCACAATTCATTCCTTTTTTCCTCATTTTCAAAAGCCTTATATTGCTCCCATTTGCTTCTTGCTCTACGCAGGAATAGGAAAACTATAGATTTGGACAGTTCAAACCTGACATTGACTAGATGTCCCAATAACCATTATTACATCCTACAATGTGAGGAGGGTACTGAGGATGAATTTTCTGTCCGAGACTTGTAACTACACTACCTCTATGAGAGAACATTTGCATTCTCCGATTCAGTATCGGTTACAATCTAGGATCTATTCCAAGGGTGGTTAGAGAAATATAAAATCATTAATATAACATTTACTTAACAGCTCAACCTATTAGATTGAAAATGGTACTTATATGGTATAAGAGTCTACATAACTAATTGATGATGAGTTTTGTTCTATCTAAACAACAGAGATGTCTAGCCTATGGCTAGTAACTGGTAACGGCTTTTAGCCAAAGGCTAGTATATGGTAATGGTTTTTAGCCAAAGAAACGGTGTGTGTGTACGGTAACAATATAGCTATGAGAGAGAGATTAAGTCATACCTTAGGTTTTACTTCCTATTTATAGAGTTGAGTTTTATGTGTGGGTATATGAGTTATGGACCTTCTATTTGTAAGTCCAATTGTCCTCTTGCATAAAGTGCCCTCCTTTATTGGGCCTTTAGATTTATGGGGATTTATGGGGCTTTATGTAGGTCCATAACAAGTTCGATCCTCACAAATGAAATATCATGAAATTTAGATGTCACTCGAATATAAAATTATTAATGTAGTTGTGTTCAGTGGCCGACAAATCACATTGAAATTATAATGCCAAAAAAACTAAAACAAAATTTGATTGAAAAAGCAAGTGTTAAATACTGCTGCGCATAGATTGCCAAGAAAATGAGGCATGTTTCGATTATTCAGAACCGGGACATTTTGTACCTCCATGTATGAGCTTTGTGGAGCGGGAGGAAGTTCCGGAAGAGAAATCCTCCCTTTCAACGAGACCAATTCGGAGTCCCCGGGTCACGGCATCGAGCGCCACGCCGGAACCAGTCGCGCCACCGCCGATAATGAGAATGTCGAGAGGGTTAGCCGAGCTGGCGCCGATCAGCGACGATTGCTGGACCTCTCTTGATGGAACGACGGCACGGGGATCGTGGATCTTCTGCCGGATGGCAGCAAGGTGGGACACTCCGCCTCCATGATCGCTGGAGGATACTGTAGGATGAAGAAGGATCGCACCGCCGTATGCGGTGGCGATGGCTGCTCCGACAGTGGTGCCAAGTAGCCTCAGGCGAGTCCTCGCTGTCATTGAAAGCACTAAATGACAGTGAAGAGAGAGAAAGAAAGAGCGAGAAAAGTACGCCTTATTTTTCGCGAGGAAATATAAAGAAAAATAAAATAAAATAAGAATTCGACTATATTCTGTTTAAACACAAACATAGGCTGTGAACCCGGGTAATAATTTTTGTATTATTGTGTTACTGAGCAGGTATAACTTTTGTTCAGATTGAAATCACATATTATATATCGGTTTAATTTTTTTCATGAGATAATTTATCTTATGTAACACGTAAAAAAGTGAATAGGATTCACTTTAAAGAAGAGAAAGAAAAGAAAAAAGTGGATCACATTCACCCTTTAGTGTATTACAAATAATCTCATGTAACACGAGAAACATATTTTTTATTATATATTCATCATAATACATAAGCATAGTTATTTTTATCCCTCTTAGAAAATATGTCAATATAGACGTGTTGTATTTTTATTGGAGGGATATAAATACCATGAATCATGGTAATATATTAGAAATGGCTTGAGCATTTTCAGTCTGGAGAACTTCTTCAGCTTGACTTAATGGCTTCAACTTTCTATTTGGCTGGACTTCTCCTTGATTAATTACAGACTTAGTAGTGATTTTTGTGGTTAGGTCAGTATGTCTTTCTAAAGGGAAAAAATCATGTTGTGAGAATATCATGCTAGGTATTGGCTTAGGCTGATGTTTTGGAGACCAGGTTAAAAGGTCTATATTATATAATAATAATATTCATAATTTTAGGAAAATAAAATTCAATTATGATATTTAAAGAATATGAAATAACAAGTTATTAAAATTGGTTTTGCATGAGGTTATAAATTTAAATCTCAATAATATCATTATATAAAAAGAAAATATAAAATACCACAAAACTTCATAAGCTCTTCTAAATTTATAAATTAGCAAAGTTAAATTTGAGGCTTAGTAAAAATAAATGAACGTGAGACGGGAAAGAAAGTTGAATGTGTTATTTCATGAATAAATAATAAATGTTATATTTTTTATTCCATTTATGTAAAATTAAATATATATTTTTTTTAATTCATTAAACTTAGTCAGGTTTACTTTTATGATATTTCATTATTAATGTATTTTACCATTTGGTTGGGGATTTGAACTAAGGTTGCACCATTATTAATGGTTGTGGGTCATTTTGTAAGAAGATATAAAAAAAACTTGGTACAAAGAGCTTTGTACATATAATTTTGTCCGGCTCGAATTGAATTAATCGAGTAATTGATAAACTTATGGTAATAAAAAACCAAATAAACAAACTTATGTGATACAAAGGGCCAATTTTGGTCTATGGACATTTAGGTGACCAGTAATGGTAGAATGTGATCACCACGGTAGTAGGTCAATGGATGCAGTAATGAAAAAGCTTGAAGACAAGGCGTGGTGTGTGTATAAGAGATAAACGTTATGGGAGTGAATTCTCTCATGTTAAAATTCACATGACCTGATCACCTAAAATATTAATATCTATCTCTTTTTCATTAATGATAATTGGACCGCACTTATTTAATACATGTGAAGTAAGAGATAAACGTAAAAATTTTACATGACCTTTCATGTGAAATTTTAATTCCCAAATATTAGGGCATCAGAAGTCTCTACTTGGTCAGTATAGTGTAATCGATTACATCATTGAACTGAAACCTATATTATTTTTTTTCTCTAGTTTTTTTCATTCAAACGAGTTTCTATGGTCATGTACTTGTAATATTGGACTATGGGAGGGGGAGGGGCTTTGTGGTCTCTGAAGACCTACTTGCGTTACTAATTCCGTAAAATGTACCGAAGACAAGTTTCAGGGTGGTTTTAACATACCATAGTATCATTTAGCTATATTAAAACCCTAAACTTGATTCATTTCACATGTATTGCTATATTTAGACTAGTTACACCCAGGGGTGTTCATCAACCGATCCAAACCGATTCAAACCGCGAAAACCGAACCGGAAAACCGATAACCGAATAAACCGAAAACCGAAAAATCGAAAACCGCAAAAAAACCGCAAAATTTAATTGGATTGGATCGGTTTTCGGATGGGTTGATGAAAACTGATCCAATCCAAACCGATCCAATATATTAATTATCCTCTACCTATTTGTCTTTCTCCAATCATAGCCTAAAAATTTCTAAACTCAAGACTCATTAACTCATCAACTAAACCCAAGAAAAAACTTAGTCACGTCTCATCAACTATAGTATTGTTTACTGATATTTTTGTATTTCAATTTTTTTTTTTGACAAATCCAATATATACAAAAAATGTTATTTGCACAATAATCATGAAACTAATTTTAGGATATTCAAAAAACCGAAAACCGATCCAATCCAAACCGAAAAAAATTGGATTGGATCGGATCGGATTTGAAAAAAAATCTAAACTAAATGGATGATTACATGATCAAACCGAAAGGATTGGATCGGATGAGTTTTGCTTCCAAAACCGATCCAATCCAGACCGCGAACACCCCTAGTTACACCAATTTGTGGGTCTTCGTCCCATTTTAGGTTAAAAGTGTAATATTAATCCTTGTTCCAATTTTCAAAATTAATAAGTTATATACATTAACAATAATATGCTAAAACTTCAACAAATAAACATCAATGAGATCAAAATAAATATCTACTTTATTAATAAAAGTTCGTTACATAGAGAAAAAATACAAAATAAAAGAAAAATACATCAACATCCTAGAACAATACTACAAATGTAAAAAGGTGAACAATACTACAAATGTAAAAAGGTAAAAAAAACCATAACCTACTCTAAGCTGGTCTCCTCATCATTACTGGCTATCTCCTCATCATAATAATTGGCGGCCTCCTCATCCTCGGTCCCAAGAGCCTATCCGAGTCCAACCTCCAGGAGACCAAACCTCTCCTCCAGACCCTTAAATTGACCCTACTTGCATAGGTTCCCACCTCTGGTCTTATACTCGCTCCATGCGAGTCCACATTTCTTTTTTGACTATGTTCCATGCGATCTATTTTTTGTATGGTGGCATTGATGTCCTTCATGACATCATGAAAATGGTATCCACCCCTTAGTGTAACACCACGTGTGCATTAGACGTATTAACTCGTTATGGTATTAAGTGCAAGAAGTGTTATTTGAAGACAGTGGGTGATATTAAATCACTAAGAGATTTGAACCCATGTATAAAGCAGAAGAGATAGATGATCGAAATTATCATACCCTGTGCAATAATGAAAATTAGAATAGATTTACTTGATTTCAGATAATGAAACAGACGGAAGAATTTATGCAGCATGAGGAATTTAATCCGAGCCCACAGAACGTGTCTCCTTAAGACAATTTGCCCCCTCACTGATGCCTAAGGTTGATGGACACTTGTCTCCCAGTATAAAACGGATTTCGTCTGAAGAGTGGTGGCACTACCAGTCAACAGCCCAAACGAACACAACAATTGCCAGAGGAAGTACATCGGAGGATGAACAGAAATATGCAAATCGGAAGGGAAGAAAAATTTCGACAGAGTTTCAGTGCAAAAAATTGGATGAAATTTCTAGGGGGGTCAGTGTCTATTTATAGATACTGACCGGTCACGATAAACCATCGCTGGCGGCGAACCGCCGTGACTGACGGTCGCGAACGAGTACGACCGGTCACCGATTCGGTGAACAGGTACAACCGATGACCGGTTCAGTGAGCAGACACAACCGGTGATCGGTTCACGAAAGGTAAGAACCGGTTCGATTCAAAAACGCTAAAGGAGCGACTGTAGGGGTTAAAGTGGGTTGGGCTGGGCCAAGCTTTGTCCCGAAAAGCCCAAGCCTACGTCAAAAAATTTCAATTTGGCTTGGCCCAAGCCTAGTATGAGTCTAATTGTTAGCCTAGTTTGGCCCGTTTATAAAAAAACAAATGGCCTGGCTTGGCCCGTTACGTTAGTATATGGATGTGCTAGAGACAATCTTTTGATTAGATTAGGACATAAGTGGACCTTTGTATTGTCGCAAATAAATAAAAGCATTCTTTATCCTGTTTCATATTTTGTCTCGATATTACTGTTAATATTATATATGAGTAACTGGATAAACCCCTTGGAATAAAATAGGTATCTCTTGAGTATCTGTAATGAGATCACGATCATGAGAATTCAAGGATACTTGATGTTTATTCCTAATTTTATGTTCCTAGTCTAGAGACACTGAGAATGGGGATCAGTGATCTCGGGTAAGACTAGCACGACTTATCTACTTGTATTCGGATGCAAGGTAAAGACCTCATGAGCTACAGATATGGAGATGTCTTGGCTAAAGTCGTGGATGGACCTATAAGGGTATAGCTCGCACTGAACAGACCCACAAAGAGACTCTATGAGGAAATCTCACAGAGAGTATCATTAGAGTAGTCTCTTTATATTTGGGTATGTCTTTCCTTAGACCAGAAGTTATTGCATAGACTGTGTTCTAGAAGGCATGCTTTGACTGGATACCTCGTCTGCCTGAAACATGGAGACTCATAGGTATACTGTTGGGCTTGTCCTGAAAGAGCACAGGGCTAGGGTGATAAGCTGAAGGAATTCGTCAAATCTCTGTGAGAGATTAGGTTATCTGTAAACCGGAGAAATTGGGATGACATTTACAGGGACTCGGGAATCTATGCATAGTAAAAGAGATCATGAGATGATCTTCCTTTAGGGTCAGTAAATTGAAGATTCCCTATTTCGAATAAAGCTTACCCTAAACCACAAGGGTTGATACGTTTCCTTACCCTAGGTTTTATGGGAAGGTAACCGAGACGAAAGGAAATACATACGGCAACCAAATATGTGTAATAGGATGATTATGTCATTAACCTAACTAGCTCTGGGGCAACAAAGCATTGCTAGTGCTCTGTGTTGTCATTAGATGAGTTGTGGACTTATTGGGCCCAAGCCCATTTATGTCAGTGGCTATGTTGGGCCTAATGGGTCACACACTAACACCTTATTGTCATGACAATATAGAATTAAAGGTATTGGGCCTAATAATGGTTGTTAGCCCAAGAAGAAGTTTGGAAGCCCACCA